TCATTATTACTTTGGAAATTTTATTATTATAAAATGAATGTGTTTCTTGTTGAGTAAATCAAGTAATCAGGAAGTACGAAGTAGAAAGTGAGAACTCCCTTCCCACCGTACACATATCGTTGCATTTAATTTCATTAATCTGACAACAGGTAGGTTCTCTCCTTACCCCTGTGTTTTTTTTTTTATATAAGATTATTTATTTATTTATTTGACAGAGAGAGAGACAGTGAGAGAGGGAACACAAGCAGGGGGAGTGGGAGAGGGAGAAGCAGGCTTCCTGCCAAGCAGGGAGCCCGATGCGGGGCTCGATCCCAGGACTCTGGGATCATGACCTGAGCCGAAGGCAGATGCTTAACGACTGAGCCACCCAGGCGCCCTCCTTATCCCTGTTTTGCAGCATACGCAGTGGAGGCTCAGAAAAGGCATGCAGCCTCCAGCGGGGGACAGGGGCAGACAGGGCTGGGATGAGGGAGGGGCAGACACTGGTGAGGCCCCCAGGTGCAGCCCAGGAGCAGGGCTCCTGCCTCCCAGAACCCCTTTCAGTGTTGTGCTGCGTGCCTCACCTGCTTCACCCCACACCCCGCATCACGTCGGGACCCTTTCTTCCGGACTCCATGGCTGTACCATCCTGAGTATGTCAGATCCCCTCTCTTTCCTTGCCTTGCTGCTGGCTCCCGAGGCTTGGGTCTCTGTGGATCCTTAGGCCAGCTCGACACCATCACCTGGTTTCTCTAGTCCAGGTTCCTCCCTTTGCACACAAGGGAACTGACGTGCAGAGAGTGCACAGGCTTGCCCATGGCCATGAAAGGCAGCAGAGTAGATCTAGCACCTTCTGACTCTCTGTCCTAGAGACCACTTCCCTTCAGCCCTCTGTTAGCCTCTCCCACTGGCATCCCGGGCAGCCCCTGCCTCTGCCTGGGGAGGTGGCCGTTGGCGACCTCCTGGGACCTCTTGGGACCTCCTGGCTCCCGGTACCAGAGATCTGCTTGGACTTTTCCCTCTGGGGCGGGGAGAACTTCATTTACCCCCAGCGTGCGGCCAGTGCCCGCACTGAGCTTAGTTTGAGCTTATTAACGTTCCCAAGTGGGCCTCAGTTTCCTCATCTGTCAAACGGACACCAGCCCTGCCTTCTTCCCAAGACTGTTATGACAATCAGATGGGAAAACAAAGCTTGGGAAAATACTAGGTATTTTGCAGATGTTACAAGCTATGCAAACTCATCTCCTTTGGAGGGCCTGGGAGCCCCCCTCCCGGCACCAGAACGTGGCTGATCACAAGACAGTCTCTGCTGGGCCCAAGCTCTTCAGTGCAGGACCTGAAACGGAGTGCGAGGGCAGTGGGCAGACTAGAGAGAGAGCAAGGACCTTCTAGTCCCAGCTCCATCCTGACTTGTTGGGTGACCTTGGTCTTCATGTTCTGGGCCCTGACTCATTGCCCTTACACCGTGAGGGAGAGTCAGGTGAGCTGATGCCCAGGATGCCTGGGCACTGACCTCCGGTACTGCCCCGTGTAGGGCCTGGGGTCCGCACCTCTTCCCCCCTCCACACACACTGTGCCGTCTGTGACGAGCAGAGGCCAGCCGTCCGCCCAGGAGGCAGGGGAGCGATGCAGCCCCTCCCTCAGAGGGCCTCTGGATGCCTGCTAATGGTCATCCTGTTGCTCTTGGAGATTCCCTTCCAGCTCTGTCATCCTGGGAATGATTCCCCTTTTCAGGAAACGTTCTAGAAACTACACTGACAGGAGGAGAGTTCCTGTCTGCCCAGAAGTCATCCTGGAACTATCCCTGACCATCTGGGCATGAGGTCAGCAGGACGTGGAAATTCCCCGTTTCTCTATTTGTGTTTCTTCCCTCCGGAAGCCCAGGCCCTCCCCGGGGTGGCTCCCCCTGAGCTCCAGAGAGGGTTTTCTCACATCAGGCTGCTTTGTGTGGGTTCTGTTGGCCTACTGCCTGCCATCCTGTTCCCGTGCCCTGCCCCCCAGCTCCGCCTGCAAGGCCAGAATCCGGGGGAGTAGCGCTGCTTGCTCCTTCCTTGGCTTCCCTGACCCCCCTTCCATGTCAGCTTCCCAATGCTGAAGGAGAACCTGAGCATCACACAGTTTGGAGGACACGGAGATGGGGTTTCGATTCCTGTAGCCCACATCCTGCTCTGTCGCTTGGCCGTATGTCTGGGCATCTCTGAGGGAGCACGGTTGTGCTAGCCCTGGTTCCAGAAGTATATGGTTGTCCAGAGTACCACTGGTCGGTGGGTCACAGCCGGGCTCTCGGGATGCTTTCACATGGCGTCTTGTGACAGAGCCAGGTCACAGGCTCCTTTGGTCCTTCAGTCTCTCTGATTAGAGGCTTACTGAAGCTCTGTTCTGGACCACCCGGAACATACACTGGCGGACAAGGTGGACCTGGCCCTGCTCTCGGGGAGCTCCTGGTCTACTGGGCAAGCCAGATGTGGAGTGAAAAACATACCCACATCATACGTAATGTCAGCTGTGAGTTCTGTTCAGGGCGAGTGTAGAGGGGTGAGCAGGATCCAGGACACATGGGACCGCGTATCACCAAAAGTGGCTACAAGCCTCCTCCAGCCCTCTGTCTCCCTGTTTGGGAACCCCGTTCAGTTCTCAGTCACTGCTCACCTTCCAAGCACCAGACCTGTGCTGGGGGCAGATGAGCAGAGCACGCTCCCCGCTCCAGGACCTTCTCCGTCAAATGCGCAGGTGCTTACACCAGTCACTTGCACTGCATCCTGGGCCGTAAGGGTTTTGCTGGAGAGGCACCTGAGGAGGAGTGGGGAGCACAGAGGAAGGACTCCCCACCCCCCATGTCTACCAACATTCTGAGCACCTTGCTATATGCCAGTCAACGTGCTAAGTGCCTTATCCCGTCTCATACTTCAGTGAACACTTGGGTGCTTGAACTGCTCTGCTGTGTAACTTTGACCTTCTCAAGTTGAAAACAAGCCCCCCCCTACACTAAGTGATGACTTTTGTGTTGGGCGTGTGGGCAGCTGTCCTTTGCTTCTGTGGGGCCCAGCCGGGCGTGGGTGCCTCTCGAAGTGTGTTTTCATCTTCTGCTTCTCAGTCTTTGGGGGAGGGGTACCACTCATGAGAACTCTGTTTTTCTTTCTGGCCCACGTCATTCCGCGCTAATATGGACCCTCGGGGCAAAATCCTTGTTACTTCCTGTGCCGCAAGGTAAGGGAAACAGCCCAGAGGGTACCTGATGGCTGGGCAGGTATTACCCCCCAGGCTGGAACTCGCTGGGGCCTGAGTCTTGTTGGGGATGTGGAGCCAGTGTAGCTGGGGGGGAGGGGGGTGGTTAATTTAACTCGCTTTCTGAGGCAGAACCAGATTTGCATCTTGACTCTCTAGTGCCGGCCACGTAATCCTGGCTGCATTACGTCACCTCACGGAGCCTCCCTCACACAGTGAGGATAAGGCCTGTATCTTAGGGTTGTTGAATGGCTTAACGGAGATAATGCCCCGAAACGGTGAGTGCGGTGCCTGGCAAGGGGGCCTGTCATGATTAGTCCCGGTTAATGAATGGGGCTGACATTATTAGTCCTTGTTCACTCTTTTCTTTCAGTGAGCCCTGTGTGGGTGCTCAGAGGGGCTTTGTGGATTCCTGACTGAAACAGTCTTTGCCCTAGGGGTGGTGACCTTGGGAGGGAGGTTTTGGGGCCCCAAGTCCTTCTGAGGCCCCCAGTGGAGCCCTTTGGAGCTCTTTCTCGTTGGCCAGCTCTTTGCAGGGCTGGAAGCTGGATCAGTTTTTCAGCCTCGGGACCTTTGCACTTAACTCTTCTCTCTGCCTAGAATATTCTTCCCTCAGATGGCTAGTTCCCTCAACCCCTTCGGGTCTTTGCTAAAATACCTCCTTCTCTGCAAGGCCTTTCCTGACAGCTCCACTTAAAATTAAAGTCCCTGCGTCATACTTCCCTGCTTAACTTTTGTCCATAGATGTTTTAATCACCCCTAAAAATCTGTTTATCTTCCCCTCTTCCTTGGCCCTTCCTTGGCCACTAGAAGGTGAGCTCCATGAGGGCTTTTTGTCTGTATTATTAGCTGATCATTTCGCAGCACCCGGACTGGTACCTAGTGCAGAGTAGATGCTCAATAAATAACTGCTGGATGAATGGAAGAAGGATGTTTCTCTGCTAAGTTACAGAACTAGGATTCTGAAGTCACTTTGCACGGCGGTGTCAAACGAAATAAAGCAGACGAAATTGAACGGATTGATGCAAAACCCTGGCTGCATGAGTAGAGAGTGGTTGGATGGAAAATTCATCTGTTCATTAGAACTGGAAGGGACAGACCGTACGTGAAATGGGACTGAAGGATGAGGGTGACAGTGTCAATTAGTATATTAAATATTAGTCAGGGTTTTTTCTTCTTCTTCTTTCTTCTAGAGAAGAGAATGTACCTATAAATGAAACTTGGGATTGGATTGACTTGCTTATCCCTTAGGGCCCAGGCGTGTTACTCTAAAGATCGCTGATTCAGTGTAAGACTTTCATTTCCCCTCAGAGCAGGGAAGGGACTGCCCGCGGTCCCGCAGTGAATTAATGGCGAGACCATTGATTAATTCCCTAAGCGTTCACTGGGCACTCACTTTCTAGCTATACCGAGCTGGGCACTGGGGCTGCGGTGATGCAGGGTCCCCATCCTTCTGGACCCCACCGATAGGACATGAACTCAGGTTGTTTGACTCCCAAGTCCGTTGCTCTTTCTTGTACCCCACTGGCAGCTCAAGCAGATTGCTGTTCCAAATGAACCAGCAGTGCAGTGAGGCCGCTGAAAGGAACTGCTGCCTCTCTGGGGTTGTCTCTTAATAGAGACGCAGTGTCCAGCTCAAAGGAGGTGACCGTGCCGCTCCGCCATCCTGTGGCCAGAGCAGCCTCAAGCGCCATGTTCTCTTCTGGGTGATGGGGACTGCCTTCCGGGGGCACGGATGGACTAGGGTGCGCCAATGGCCTGGCCAGCCCCCTCATCTACTGCTGTTGTCCTTACAGCCAGGTGGGCGCTACGGCAGGGGTTGAGCCGCCCTCATGGAAGGGAGAGGACCATACCGGATCTACGACCCTGGGGGCAGCGTACCTCTGGGAGAGGCTTCTGCGGCTTTTGAGCGCCTAGTGGAGGAGAATTCCCGACTGAAGGAAAAAATGCAAGGGATAAAGATGTTAGGTAAAACAGAGCCTGCGCTCTCCCTGCAAGCCTCCTCCCCGCAGCCTGCCATGCTAGCTGGCATCTGCCTCCACCCGAGTCGTCCCTCTGCCCCGCCTGGCCCGGCGTTGGCTCCTGCCTCGCAGCTCTGTCTTTGTGCTCTTCCGTAGCATGTTGGCAGCATCCCCAGCCCCGATTCTCAGCACCCCAGCACCAGGATGGTAGGACTCAGGATACCCGAGGGACCTAGAAGGAGGCATGGGGTGGGGGAGGGAGGAGGGGCTGGAATGGCCGTTTTGTGCTCGTGGAAACAGAATGATCTCGTCTTCTGGAAGCACCAGCAATGGGAGAGCTGGCCTCACCAGGGCAACAAGAGCACAGTCCCCATGTGTTGGAGCAGGGAGCTGAGCTTGGCTTGAAGCAAAGCGGGGATAGGTCCCTTGGTTTCTTTTTTCCTGGCTTTTGCTCGAGCTGTCCCTGTTGCCTGGAGCAGGTCCACTTACCTCCCCATGACTGAACCAGCCCAGAGGCCATCTCGTCCTCCATGTGCAGGATTCACTGATAACCCTGTCCAGAGGAGTCTCTCTGCTCTCCACACCCCTAAAACTCTTCCTTTGCTTTGCTGCCACCTTCTCTGGCCTTAGGCTTTGGGGGTGAGCATAGGTCCCTGATTTTCCAACTGCTTACTCCTTGCTTGGCAGATCTCTGCTTGGAATGGCAGATTAGAGAAGGAGGAATGGAGTTTCCCATTCTCCACTTGTAGAAGGAAAACTGAGGCCCAGAGGGGTGGTGGTATTACCAAATGTCTCCTGCCTTCAGGCAGCCCCTGACTGGGGGGTATAGGCTGTGGGTAGCCCCCAGGGGCCATGATGGCTGGTCTTGGAGAGCCCCTGGCTTTCTGTAGAGTCCCTGGCCAGGTATGGCAGGAGTGGGGCAGGAGGACAGTGCCTGGAGGCCAGGAGTTTGTCCTCGGTTCCCCTCTACTCCATTTTCCCTGATTGCGGGGCCCCTTCTTTCCCTGGCCCATCTCTGCTTGGGGGCTGGAATGATGTGTGTCGCACTCAGCCCACGGGGCAATGGTGGGGGCACAGCCCAGGGCCCGCAGCATCAGGAGCCACACGGAAGCAGGCTTATGGGTGTGGGGCCAGGAGAACGGGTGCACTGAGCTAAGTAACTCCTTTGCTCCCCGTCGTTTCCCCAGGGGAGCTTTTGGAAGAGTCCCAGATGGAAGCATCCAGATTGCGGCAGAAGGCAGAGGAGCTGGTCAAGGACAGCGAGCTGCTCCCACCACCATCTCCCTCTTTGGCCTCCTTCGACCACCTGGCTGAGCTCACAGGTACGAGGGGGGCCCAGGTGGACCTCTGCCTTTCCCCAGACTCCTAACTCTCTAGACGCTGAACAGTGGTCTCCCTCCTCATTTGGAAACCCACATCTCCTCCATTGATCCTGAGGCCACAGACCCTCCTCCTAGTCATGTTTTGTCTACAGCATCCCTCAGAAGGTCAGGCATGGAAGGGACCTCAGAATAATTCTGTCCAAAAATGGCTGGTGACTCAGCACTCCTGAGGCCCTGGCAGACATTAGTGATGGATCACAATCCCCTGCACCCAGGATGTGGCCTCAGTATCTGTAGCAGCATATTTATTCAGCAGATCTTTAATGAGCAGCTACTATGTGCCAGGCATAGAGTTCCAGGCAGCTACTTTGGGTCGCTCAGAGTTGGCACATGGGTTGAAAGCTCTCTGGGCTGGCCCCCCTTTTTGCATTTTACCATGGGGGAAGCTGATGCCCGTGGAAGAATCTGGATTTCCTATTAGCCTGCTGCAGTGTATTTCAGGTGTAAGGTACGCATACTACCTATTAAAGGAAAGCATTGGCTATGAGGAAGGCTTGCAGTCCCGAGTGGGGTCACTGTGCATTCCTCAGCGTGTCTCCGAGTACAGGGCAAGGTCGGGGACAAGGAAAGAAAAGGTCCCCACACATGAGGCTCAGGTGCCTTCTGCTGCAGCCCTCCTCCAGTCTTTGCCCAGGCCGGTGTGCCGGCCTTCCGCTGGCTGGTGGTTACATTTGCTGAATGGACAAGTGGAGGAAAGTGATGAGACCAGAGTCCACTGTGCTGCAGTCAGTGGGCACTTCCAGCCTCCACTGGTCCACTCAGCGGTGATTGCAGAGTCCCAGCTTGGCGCCGGGCCCACCCCCCGAGGGAGAGGTGCAGCCACCCTCCAGCGGCTCCAGGAGGTCAGAGGGAGAGCCGAGTTTGAGCCCTGGTTTTGCCGTGGCTGGCCGTGTGACTGTGCGCTGGTTGGTGACCTTTCCCTGCCTCCCATTTTCTTACTTGAAAATGGAGATACTGAGCTGACCCAAGAACTGGCTGAGATGATAAATATAAAAATACTTTGTTAATCATAAAGTGTCCCCCTTGTCATCACCAAGGCAGGTCCAGGGTAGCGAGGAGCAGTGGCCACCTTGGGATTTTCCCAGCAACTCCAAAGAAGATGGTCTGTCTGCCCAGGCTCTGTCTCATCATTTCAGTCATTTTCCTAGGCTACTGGTCCCTGGTGGGACCACCTCCCATTTTCCAAGACTCATGTAGGGAGAGAACTCTTCTGGCCCAGGCTGTCCTCGAGGGCGTGGTATGTGGGCTTTCCCCCCTTTTCCTGCTGCTTATCCATGTGTTCTCAATTTTCCAGGAAAGGATACAGGTGGCCCAGCACCGCCCGCTGACCCTGCACACCCCAGCGACAAACCAGAGCCAGTCCAAAAACCTCCATCCAGCGTAAGTTCCATTTGGAGTCGTGGCTGAAAGTTGTCTGGACCTCAAGGGCCCATTGGCAGATACGAGAACTTGGAGAGAGAGGGTTGAGGTCAAAAAACTTGTGTTTTGACTTGCTAGGTGATACTGGACAAGTTGATCTCTGTCTCCCTGGGGCCTCGGTTTCCCTGTTTTCAAACGAAGGTCATAGTTAACACTTACCAGGAAGACCCCCGGATGCACAAGGTGTTCCTCCCATCTGCTGAGTTGTGTAATGCCAACCCTGTGTTGACTGTGCACAGTGCTGGGAGAATGATAGATGTGACCTGGAACTCTCATTCTCCAAGGGGGTTCAGAAAGTGTCTTCTCCAGATTTGCCTTGAGAATTTCTTCTTGGTATCCTAGGACTGGAAGGGACCCTAGTGGCCATATTGTGTAGGGTCTTCATCCTACAGATGAGGTCCAGAGAGGGAAGAGAGTTTTGTCGTGAGGTCGCACAGACCACTGGGAAGTGGAGGTGAAAGGGAGACTTTCTCGGGCAGGGCTGAGATCCAGAGCTGGGCTCTTGGTGGCCGGGAGGCTCAGCCAAAGCTGAGTGCAGAGATCCTTCTATGTGTCTGCCCATTCCTGGGACGAGGGAAGGGTGGGATAGTCCTTGGAGACCAGGTTTAATAGCAATCCCAGAGCCAGTTCCGGGTTGAGGGGAATCAGTGGCCTATCCGTTGATTGCACAACCAGTGCATTCCACTTGGTATGGCTGAGAGGTGTGAATCGTCTGGAAGTCCTTGACCACCCTGCTTTTGGGTGAACCCTGGAGGTCTCTCCAAATTTGTTGGTGTACCCTTAGGACTCATTGCAGATTGGTCCACTCCTCTGGGATCTCTGGCACTGGGTTGGCAAGGCTGGCACGGGACTACCTTGTGGTGGCCATATTAACTACTCTCTGTGTTGCCTGCCTTTTGCATGAATTAACGACATGCCCTCGGTTTCCGCATCTGTCCGAAGGGGACATAGCCCTCTGACCTCTCTGTAGGTTGCTTTGAGAAACAATGGAATTTGTGAAAACATTTAAAAAGTGCAAGGTCCTTAAAAGAGAATACAGCTGTAAAGTGCTAGCGGTTCAAGGTCACTAGTCCAATATCCCTGTTCTACAGATGAGGGAACTGGCCGCGGAGGGGAAAGTGACCTCAGATCACACAGTGGGGTGCGGGAATCCTGCTCTGTGGTCTCACAGGAAGTGATATGGAGTTGCCCTGTGAGCTCAGCCTCCACGTGGAGGGGCTGCCCGGATGAATTGCGGCTCTGTCACGAGGCCCTGGAGGAGGGGCGAGGTGTTTTCCTCTCAGGCAGTTCCTAACTCCCTTTCTGTACAGGGCACCTCCTCTGAATTTGAAGTGGTCCCCGCTGAGGAGCAGACTTCTTCGCCAGCGAGCGGCGGCCACCCCAGAAACACCATGGTGAGTAGATGGCGGGTCCCCGGCTCATCCCACGTCTCCTCTCTGTTTCAGTCACCTGGCCCTGGTGGAGAGGCACAGGATCCACTCGGATCCCTTGGGCACTCTGGAGTCACTTGGGGATACATAAGGGGCCAGGGCAGGGGGTGCTTCTCGCTCACATATGCAAATTCCTGGCTGGTGACTTCCCCTACTGGGGCCATCCAGGCACCGGACCATTGAGAAAGTCTGGGCACATTGCCAGCCCTGCTGGTCTCGGCCTTGTGCTGGGCACCTCCACACACTATGACTCCACACACTTGGGCCTGTGGGCTCCTAGCCTGGCTGGAGTAGAAAGGGCCAGAGAAACCCAGAACAGCTTAAGGCAGGTGATTTACCCTTTTGTGCAGGCTCTCTGTTCCTCCCAGGCACCCCTTCAGGGCATTTATGCACACACACACACACACACACACACACTCCTTCAGCTCTGGAGGTGTCTATCCAGCATCCTCTTTCCTTACCTTACCCTACTTGTTGCCTTTATTCCAACTGTGTCCCCCTCTGCTGTCTCTTAAAATGGCAGACTTAGTGGAGAACCGTGCAAAAGGTCTAGAACATCCTTTCTTTTTTTTTAATAAAGATTTTTATTTATCTATTTGAGAGAGCGAGCATGGCGGGTGGAGGGTCAGAGGATGAAGCAGATTCCCCGCCAAGCAGGGAGCCCGATGCAGGACTCGATCCCGGGACTCCAGGATCATGACCTGAGCTGAACCAACTGAGCCACCCAGGCGCCCCCTGGTCTAGAACATTCTTGAAAAGTCTTAAAGTGCTGTCCTCTCCTCCTTCTCCCTCCGTGTTCACTTTGAGATTTTTTTGGTGGTGGTTATAAGGCAGTAAGTGGCCTGACTCTTCCCCGTGGTCTCTGTTTCCTCCTCCCACCAAGAACTAGGGGGCAGATGTTGCTCCTTAGTTCACTGGTGGCATGTTGTATCTGTTAGTTTCCCCTCCCCCCCTGTGCAAGGTCCCCATCAAGTGGTCATCCGGCTTACACTAGCATGCCCTCAGTGACAAGCGGCTCCTCACCGTATCAGGTAGGTCTGAGTATCAGAAGGGTTCTCCTGCTCTATCCCTGAAGGTTCTGAGATGCTGGTTGAGGAGGAAAGACACTCCCCACCCCCCGGCTCAGAGAGTATTTCACTCTTTCACTTGGACCAGTAGTTAACCATCTTTTTTTTTTTTTAAAGATTTTATTTATTTATTTGAGACAGAGAGAATGAGAGAGAGCAAGCACATGAGAGGGGGGAGGGTCAGAGGGAGAAGCAGATTCCCTGCCGAGCAGGGAGCCCGATGCGGGACTCGATCCAGGGACTCCAGGATCATGACCTGAGCCGAAGGCAGTCGCTTAACCAACTGAGCCACCCAGGTGCCCTTAACCATCTTGTTAATAAGTTCCTTCTTAGCCACACCATGTGCCTAGTCTGTGCCAAGCAGAGGCAAGACGGCCTCCCTGCCCCTTGGGAGCTTGCAGGCTGGTGGGAGAAATCGTAGGCATGAAGCAGTTCATGAGCCTTAAATAGAGCAGCATTCACCACCTCAGATCCTTTGTGGGAAGAGGCAGTGGGGGAATGAATGCCCAATTGAAGCACCAGCTTTCCCTCCTGTTAGGATAAGGTGCTAACAATACTACGGAGGCATTCACTGAACACCACATTGTGGCCGTAGGGCATTTCCAGGCCGCGGAGCACAGAGACAAGGGAGCTCAGTGTGGCAGGGCACTGAACTGGATCAAGAGTCAGAAGCCTACATTCCAGTCCTGGCTCTGCCGCTGAATCACTGGGCAACTTCGGGCAAGTTCCTTCTGCCCGTACTGTGGTTTCTCAGCCTGAGCCCTGAGGCTCCCCATGGCACTGACGTCTGTGACTTCCATAAATGTTTCGGGGAGGCTGCTAGAGGAGCTGAAACGTGGGCAGGGCTGGGAAGGATGGGCAGAGGGGACACTGCGGGAATGAAGACTGAGGAGGCACGGGGCCTGGTATGTAGAGGCTCAGGCAGGGGAAGGTGGGGACTCAGATACCCGTCAGGGGAGCGGGGCTTGATGCGGTGAGCTGTAAGGTGCCAGTGAGGATCCTTGGGCATGGTGTTGGCATAACTAGGGCACCATTGTCTTTGGTAAGAATGTTCTAGACAGAGGAGAGGTGGCTAAAGAGAGAGAGAGAGAGACTGATTATTGAGATTGGACTCCCACAGTTTGCTTCATTTCTTATATACTTTACTAGATTGGGACTCTTTGAACCCTCTAAAGCAATGGTTCCTGACCCGTTTTGACTCTGGGGTTCTCTGATGAGTTGGTAAATGCTTGGACCGTTCCCTAGAAGACACACCTGTAGACATAAAAGTCAGACAGTTTTGGTCTCTGCATGGCTCCCTGCTCAAGGGTCCCGGAACCGAAGAAGCAGTGCTGTTTATAGAGTGACACCCCTCTCCTGAGCTTGCAGCTTTCACATGTCATTCACCCTCATAAGAACCCTATGAGGTAGAAGGGAAGGGAGGAGTGTGTGTACATTTAGTAGAGGAGGATTTAGAGGCCTGGTGGATGAGTGGTTTACCCACAGGCACTCAGTGAGGCCCAGAGTGTGGGAGGAAGGTGGCCTGCTGCTGGTAAGCCAGCCTGTGGCCTGGGAGTCCCAGGTCCTGCCCCATGAGTCAGCCCCAGACAGGGAACCTGTGTAACTAGAGAATTTCCCTGGGCTGAGCAAGGCTTAGAGGGGAAACTGAGTCATGAGGCATGGGGAGGCCAAGGGAGAATGGCCGGTGATGAGTGGTCGGTGTGCCTTCCCTCCCGCCAGGCGTTCGACCCCCCGCCCCACGAGGACAGCAACCTGATGCTGCATCTGCAGCGCCTGGAGACCACACTGAGCGTGTGCGCCGAGGAGCCGGACCGCACCCAGCTCTTCACGCACTTGGGCCGCATGGCCCTCGAATTCAACCGGCTGGCCTCCAAAGTGCACAAGAATGAGCAGCGCACCTCCATCCTACAGGTGAGGCCAGCTAGGAGGGGGGCCGCGGATGGCAGGTGTGCCCCCCCCCACCTGCCCCCGTTCTTCCTGGGAAGCCAGGGGTACCACAGGCACCTCTGAGGGTGACGTTGGGGGCTGACTCCGGACTTACCTTTCAGGGTGGTGAGCAAGGTCAGGAAGGTGTGGGAAGGCACGAGGAAGAGGAAGGAAATTGGAAAATGTGGGTGGGCAATGCAAATTTCATGGCTGGGGATACCACTGGGGCATGGATGTGGGCAGGTCGGTAGCAGTCCTACCTCTAGTAGGTGGAAGAGTTGGGATTCAGACCTCAGCCTGTCATGCTCTAAATCCCATGCTCGAAGCATCATCCTCACCTGCCTCCCAACCCTCCCTGCATCGTGGGAGTGAAGTCAGATTCCTTCCTAGGCCAGGCCAGGCCTTGGAATAGAATGGTCCTTGGTTCTAGTAGTGACTTTTTGGGGTTTTTTGCTGTATGACGATGGACAGGTCACTTATCCTCTCTGTCCCGCACTGTCCCTTTCAGTAACATGGAGTTGGGAATGCCTGCCTCCTGGGATTGCTGTATTAATGAAGCACCCAGGGCAGCCTCAAACACAGCAAGTGGTCACTGGTAGGGTTTCGTGGGGATCAGTCATTGGACTGGGCAGGGGATCTTAGTCTCAAGGGCCTTGGGTAGGGAAGGATTCCCAGATAGCGAAACTGAGGCTCTAGGAGGACCTGAGTGCCTGTCACCTTAGTGACAAGGCATAACCTGAAGTCTCCTTCCTCCCTCTGTGCCAGTCACTGTTCGGTCACGGATCTATGGTCTCACTCGTGTCAGCAGACATTCAAGGTGGTCCAGTTGATTGGGGGCAGTGGTGAGGGGGGAGTCTGCTGTGTGTGACCTCGGGAAGGGCTGGGCTGACAAGAGCAGGAGGGGGGTCCAGGCTGGAGACAGGTGTGAGGAGAGAGGTGAGGGGAAGAGGACTCCAGGGAGAACGCAGGACTCCCATCCCACCATGAGGGAAGGGCATGTTGAGGGGAGTCAGTGGGGGACACTGTGAGGGCCTGGGGGTTCCAGGCTGAGGGAGAAGTCTTTCTGCTATCACAGAGGCTTAGAGGTGTCTGAGCCGAGCTCTGGGGAGGTGAAGATGGTGCACTGCATGCAGTGAGATCACTTTGAGTGTCAACTTTTTGGCTTTGAAATGGCGATTGATACCAGGCCTCCTAAAAGAGGGTCCTGCCAAACTCTCGTATTTTTTTATATCTCGAGCTCCTGTGTGTGTTGCCTTCTTGGCTCTTACCATAGTTTGTTAGTAACTTTATCTTCTTGGGTGGTTTATCTACTTTGTGCTTCATTTTTTTTCCCTTGCGCTCCCTGCTCAAATATAAGGCTCACAAGGCGGGGCAGGCACCTTCTCTGTCATATTCACCACTGTGTCCCAGTGCCCAGCGCTTAGCGGGTGTTTCGTGCACATTTTTGAGTGGGTGAGTGAGTGAGTGATCAAAGGACCTCACAGGTAAGCTCTCTTGGCCCCTCTGATGGAAGGTGATGATTTTAGTGACATCCTCCCTCCACCGGCTGTTTCGTTTCTGGGGCATTGGCCCAGAGACGCGGAGGAAACAGCCCTCTGGACTGGGAGGTCGACAGCACACGAGTCCTCGTCCCGGCCTTCCCTTAGTGACTGGGAGCAGAACATTCTGTTCCCGCGCAGGGCCGTGGCATCCTGGGTATTTGTCTAGCCTCTGGGTGGAGGCACATTAATCTGGTTCCTCCTCATTTATTCATTGATTTGTTTCTTGGTTCACTCAACAAACACTGTCAAAGGCACGTATGGTGCAAGGCCTCTGCTAGACACTGGAACCAGTCACGGTAGTGTTCTGTCCTCTCGGCCTCAGATCCCTCGTGTCCTACCAGCCTCCATTTCCAGGCTGTCTCCTCCACGCAGCCTTCCCGGGTCTCCCCTGTGTTAGCCAGAAAGGGCTGGGTTTTGCTGTGGAAACAGGCAACTCTGAAATCTCCCTGGCTACTGTGCAGTTTTCTCTCAGATTCCGTGTGGTTGGGGCTTGTTTCTGCTCCTCAGTTACTGAGCGGCCCATGCCGACAGACAGCCCAGCATCTCGTGCCCTTTGGCACGAGAGAGAGAGACCGGAGAGTTGTGCCTGGGCCAGCCCAGAAGTGGACTCATGTCACGGCTGCGCACTTTCACGGGCCAGGAGTAGTCAGCTGATGGCAGAGAGCCCGGGGCTTGGAACCGGAAGGGAGCCATGGAAGGCGGTGATTGCCACGGGCTACAGGCCTTCCCGCCCCTCTCTGCGCCCGCGGCACGGCGGGGGGCGGGGGGCAGCGGGGGACACCCCGCTTTCCGTCTGCCACATGGAGTACAATCCCAGTGGTGATTCTTAGCAGCTGTGCAACCTCATGCACATCACATCACCTGCACTGGCTGCTTTTAAAACAGAGATGAGTTAAGTAGCTTTGGGGAAGCCGTGCAGCTCCCACGAGCAGCGAGCAGAAGAGCACCTGGCCATGGACGTGACGTGTACTAGGTGCTCACTGAGTATTTGTCGGAAGAGGGAGTAACTTCGTACGGACACTTGCAGCACATTCCTAGTGGGCACCCCTGCCCTCCCTGGGCCTGGCCGCCCCATCTTCCATGCCCCGTCCCATCGCCGTGCTCCCAGCAGGAGTCCTCAGATAGCATCAGGGGACCAGCAGGCCACAGGGCCCTTGCACCCCAGGGCTCTTGCTTGTCTGTAAAGGAGGCAGAGGAGGAACGTTGTCCCCATGCGAAGAGGGGGGATCTGTGTCTCCGAAGTGAAGCAAGCCCGAGCTGCACCTGAGACCTTGCTGAGGTCTTGACCGAATGCCCTGTCTTGCCATCTGGCCACACCAGAAGCCTCTGACATTCTCCAGATTGACTAGCTCACAGGCCTCCTAGGACTCCGCTCCTCACTGTTGGTTCCTTCACTGGACCCCTCCGTCATGCAGTCGGGCATTCCTTCAGCAGAGCTGAGCGTTGGCTGCGCGAGGTCCTGAGCTGGGCTGGGGATCTGGCAGCGGACAGGAGAGCGGGGAGGGGGTCCTGGGCCTCCGGGCGCTCACAGACTGGTGGTTCTTCAGCTGTACTTGTCACAAGTCCTAAGCAGGGTGAGAACGGGGCCTGTGAGCAAGGATAATGGCAGTGACCTCACTCACCCGAGGTGTGGGAGTTGGGGAGGCTTGCTCTATGACGTGATGTTTAGGCTAAGACCTGAAGCAGGAGTAGAAGTCAGCTGGGGGAGGGCTGGTGAGGAAGAGCGTTCTACGCTGTGGGAATAGCAGTGGAGGAGGAGGGATGGAGCCCTCTGCCTAGCAAGACCAGAAGGTCCTGTGGCTGATTCTTGGTCAGGCATCCTCATGGCTGGCTCCTGAGGGGGAGGATGCATAGAGGAGCCTGCATGGGCCTAGCACCTGGATTCCCAGCTGTCCTGAGAGGGCCTGGGTGAGGGCCACGCAAAGGGGATAATGTGTTGGGACCTGGTGTGTCTATGGCCCCTCCCCTGTCCTCCATCCTCAGCCTGCATTTGGGATGCACCCCTTCCCTCACCTTGCCCCCTGTCTACCCCTCTGCCTTGCAGACCCTGTGTGAGCAGCTGCGGAAGGAGAATGAGGCCCTGAAGGCCAAGCTGGACAAGGGCCTGGAACAGCGGGATCAGGCTGCTGAGAGGCTGTGGTAAGTCCAGGCTCCTCAGGAGCGAGGAGTCAGACGGGCAGGAGGAGAGGGGTAGTGCCTGGCACCGATTTCTGGGCTGAGGGTTGAGGGCTCTGAGGCTTTGGATGTCAGGTCTCTTGGTCCTTCTCCTTGGGCACCTTCTCCGGCCCTTCTAATACTGTTCTAGAGTGCCTTGAGAGCTTCAGAAGAAGGTCCGCACAAATTGTGCTCCTTGGGAACTTGGCCCCTTAGCCTGGTAACAGCGGCCTGCCTGCTGTTGGGCAAGGGCTCAGCACTTTGCTGCCCTCTGCTGGTCACCATCGTGTCCTGCCGTCTTCCTGCTGACCGTCAGGGGTCCCTCATTTGCCTGCTGGCTCTCGGATTTCATTGTGCCTCAGGATCACTGAGGGTCAGGGAAGGCATTACATGTTCACACTCCCACCCCTCCCTCCTCTGCTGAGATCCTGATTCAGTGGATGAGGCAGGCCTAGGCATTTTTCCGAGGGCCTCTGTGATTCCAATGTGGGTAGACCCAGGATCACACTTGAGAAACACTGCTCTTGACTATCAGAGTTTGAAGGGCCCCTCAAGGTTAGGCAGGTCAGACCCCGCATTGTGCAGAGGGGAGACTGAGGCCCAGGGAGCGCAATGTGTAACTACTGATTCACTGTGCCATTTTGAGTCAGCATATGTGTATTTACTTCTGCATGGCCTAACAGTTGGGAGTGTTAGAGCCATAATGACTCCATCCATGGATCTAAGACCGCAGGCTGGAGGAAAGACTCATGACTAGAAGGCATGAGTGCAAGTCCCTGCTGTGTGACCTTTGGAAAGCCACTTTATTTCTCTGTTTTTCTATTATTACATGGAAACTTAGCTGGCAGATACAACATAAATATTTTCCCTATTTCAGTCATACCTGAACCCACATCAACACTTTTTATTATGTCCTATGTCACCTACCTTATTGATTTAAGAATTTGCTTTGATTTGAATCATGTTTTTACTTAAAATTATGATAAAGAAAACTTGCCCTGGAGTTAATGGAAAACAGCATTACCTGCAATGAATAGAAGACAACCCCAACAGTAAATAAAATGAACATGGAGGGGTGTTACTAAGTTCTGGCCAAGTGCCGCGACCCACGGGAGGCTCTGAGCCTGAAGCCTGCCCTCTCCCTGTGAACAACGCAGACCAGCATGTCCTGGAGGAGAGCTCCAGACCTATTAGCCTCAGCTAAGACTGTTCCCTGCTCCACACAGGAAGTTTGAAGCTGACTGGAAAGGGTGTACCTTTCTCCCTGGAGCGTGATCAGGGTTGTTTAATGCAGGTTTGGATGCATCCTGGAGATCTCATGTATGCGGACCTCACACAATTGGGAAACCCTGCTGTTGATGACCAGAGACTTCTAGAGAAGCCCAGATTGCCAGCAAAGGGGCCTAGGGATGCCTTCTTTTGTTCTCCCCAAGGGCAGGTTTCAGGGTCCTGCTTCTTCTCCAGGATGCAGCTACACTTCAGATGAGTAGTAGGTCCGAGGACCCCAGCCTCCTTAACGCAGGGCCAGCAATGTGACCTCTCTGTTTGCCTCTGACCCAGGGAGGAAAACATGGAGCTCAAGAAGTTGTTGATGAGCTGTGGCAAAGAGAATGCCTGTGGGCAGCCAGGCTCACTAAAGACAGAAGGCACAGGCAAGAAGGGAGTGGCCGGACAGCAGCAGGTACGTGCCCAGAAACTCCTTCCATGGCATCCTCGATCACCAGGGCCAGGCCTCTGCTGCTGCCTCCCATGGCAGTGAGCCCACCATCTCCTGCTGCAGCCAGCATCCCTCTTACTAGGTTTTCGATAGACGGTGTCTCCTTAGCTTAGCCTGACAGCCCGCGCCCCTGGAGCTTCTACTCCTCAGCCCTCATTCCGCATCCCATCCCCTGGCATTTTTGGTTGATGTTGGGTGGGGGATGGTGGCAGTACCTTAGAGATAGAGTCTGAGCAGGGCAAGAGGCGGCCATGGGAAGGGGAGCGAGCGGAGGGCAGGAGGGCAGGAGGGCAGGGGAGGAGGAATGGTCATCTGGTAGCTAGCATACACGCTCGGGCTGCTGGCCATGACCATGGCTCGGTGGCCCCCACAGGCCTTCTCTTCTCCAGGCTGAGTAGCTCCAGTTCCTTTGGCCACTGCTCATAGAAAGTGGTGTCGAGTCCTTCGCTCGGTCTGGGCACATTCCCTAAACGTGTTCCCGTTTGTGAAGATCTCTGTTGGGTGGGTCTCAAAAGTCAGTTTAACATCTCAGATATTCCTGGCAGAATTAGGGTGTTGGGTGGAGAAAGCCCCTCAGGGGACTCTGATAAGCTCCTGGGATTGCGTCCTGGGGCCTCTGACCTGGAGAGAAGTAGGGGTTAGCTGACATTGCCATGGCCGGACACCCCTTCCCACGGCCGCTCCCAGCTGTGGCTCACATCCAGTTCCCATGCACGAGCTGGCACGAGCTGGCACGAGCTGGCTCTCCTCCCTTGCCCGGTCTGTGCCTTTCCCCTTCCTGCAGAGCTGAGTCCCAGCTTTTTCCTGACACGTTTTCCCCTTTTAATGGGGTTCAATGGCTGCACAGCAGGACTCAACATCTTTAACAAACCCCACACCTATGTAATAGCAACAATTACCTTAATAACTTAATTCCTCGTTACTGTGTGGCGATGTGGAACGTACCTGGGACTTGCAAATCTGTCGTCCTATTTGGATCTCCGCTCTGCACGTATGCTAGGCAGGGCCGGGACAATTACTCCCTGACACAGCCGTGGCAGGAGGTGTGGAGAGGTCACGTGACTTCCTGTCATCAAGATCCCTGCATCACCTGCTAGCAGGCCACCAGCAGTGCGGCAGAGACCCATGCTGTTAAATGACTGTCTGCACTCCAGCCCGTGAAGCCCCTCCCTTCCTCCATTTACCCCTCAGGGCAGAGCCTGCCTTGGCCGTCCTCTTGTGGAAGTGCCTGGTGGAGCCCCCGGTCTCCCGTGGGTTCCCTGAGCCACCACGGGTGTGGGATTCAGTGGGCAGTCCTCTTCACTTTCCCGAGCGCTTCGGTGTCCGCTCATGCCGCTCGACTCCCCGGAGGTCCAGCTCATCTTAGCAGCCTGCCGGGGAGGCAGGGCCCACGGGGGGCATGTGTTTCGGCGGTGGCGGAGCTGGCCCCCTGGAGCCACACGCGGCTTGAATGCTGGCTCCACCTCTGGCCAGCACGGCCACCTTGGATGAGTTACGTAAACCAACCGTGTGGCTTCAGTTTCTTCTTCTGTAAAATGGAAGCGGTAACACTGGCCTCAAAGGATGGTGGGAGGGCTCAGTGATGTGATACCCGTGAAGTAGGTTTAGCGCTGGGCGCGTGGTAACCCATGAACGTTAGCTGTTGCTTTTAATGGCCGCTTTGGTGCTAGCAGCCGGGTGGGCTGACTCTTCTCTTCTTTGTGGAGGTTAAGGGTGTACCCCCAGGAGCCCCCATCCCCTCTTCCTCCTTGCCCTGTAAGGAGGCAGCGGGCTTCTAGGCGCAGGCCCATCTCTTGCCTTCCGTAAAGGCGAGGGTCCCTGGAGGGCTTCCCCAGCCCGCTCCCCTTCCTCCCTGGTTCTGTGGTGTGCTGACAGACCTTGGCCTGCAGGGGGCACTGGAGCCTCACGAGTTCTGCCCTCATGGCCCGCCCCACCCTCCACTCCCACCCCAGCACTGGGGGAGTGCAGAGGGGGCAGGAAGGCAGGCGATAGAGAGAATGTGGGCAGTGACCCCAGGACAGATGCTGACAAGCCCACAGGATATCAGAGTTTGGGGCCTTTGGAGCCCATCTTGTCTGACCTCCTGGTACCAAGGCCCAGAAGGGGTGTGGGTCTTGGGCTCATGCTGGACTCGGAGCGAGAACCAGCACTCCACTGCTGGCCTCCTGAGCTTGTTCTGCCCTTTCGCCCCAGCATTTCCTAGTTCAAAAAAATTTTTTTCTAAACTTTATTTTGAAATAACTTTAGATTTACAGAAGAGTTGCAAAAGTAGTCCAGAGAATTCCCATACCCCCTTGACAAGTTACATAACTGCGGTTCAGTGATCGAAACTAGAAAATAAACAGTATTATTAACTAAACTATAGACTTTGTTCAGAGTTCACCAGTTTCTCACTCGCGTCCTCCTCCTGCACTTTCCGTGTGGGCGCCGCCAGTCCAGGACTCCACATTTCCTTAGCTTCCTCCAGTCTGTGACCATCCCCAGCCATGCCTTGTCTTTCACGAGCTTGACACTTGGGAGTTCTACAGGCCAGTGATTTTGTAGCGCGTCCCTCAATGTGGGCTTAACTGTGATTAGATGAAGGGTGTGCGCTTGGACGAGACACCACAGGAGTGACGCTGTGCACTTCCCGGTGCGTCCTGGCAAGGGCACGTGACGTCAGTGTGTCTTATCACTGTCCACCTGATTGCATGGCTGAGGGGGTGTGTGTCAGTTTCTCCATACTAAAGGAACAGTTTTCCCCTTGTAGTTAATAAGTACTTATTTTTGAGGAGGAACTTGAAGTCTGTGCAAATATCCTGTTTCTCCTTATACTTCTCACTAATTTTAGTATCCATGGTGGATCTCACCCGCAGAGATCATCATTACCGTCGTAGATTTTGAATTTCCCTCGCTCCTTCTATATTCAGTAATTGGAATTCTTCTGTAGGGGAGAGTCATCCCTTCTCCCCCACTTATTTATTTATTCAGCTATTCCTTTCCACCAGTTATGGACTCGAGGATATTTATTTTATTCTTTGGGTTATAATCCAATACGACCATGATTTATATTTTTGTTCAGATTGTTCCAGCTTTGGCCATGGGACGCTCTTTCACGTTGTCTCCTGTACCCACAAGACATGCCTTTCTTCTTCTTCATCATATTATTACTGAGCACTTCCTTTTTTTTTTTTTTAATAAGATTGATTTATTTATTTTAGAGAGGTGGCGGAGGGGCAGAGGGAAAGAATCTCAAGCAAGCTTCACCCCCAGTGCAGAGCCCGACATGGGGCTCGATCTCACAACCCCGAGATTATGCCCTGAGCCGAAACCAAGAGGTGTGTGCCTAACTGACTGAGCCACCCAGGTGTCCAGGCACTTTCTTATTTTCTGGTACAAGATACTCCAAACTCTTGCTTATGTTTTCCCTGCCCCTGGAATCCACCACTTCTCTAAGGAACCCTATGTCTTGTTGTTGGAGAGCAGCACTTAGAAACCAAGATCTGGGCACTAGGTGTGCCCCCTGCCACTGGAGTGTTAGTCACCGTGTTAGGCTCTCGCAAAGGACAGAGCTAGGAAACACACATACATGTACTGATCACACATACACGTCTTTATTCCGTATCTTTCTAAAAAGCTTTGTAAGTAAACATTTTAGAAAATGTTGAAAAAAAATCTGTAACTCTTGCCTTCTAGGTCAGAGGATTTTTGGTTGATGTTGGGTGGGGGATGGTGGCAGTACCTTAGAGATAGAGTCTGAGCAGGGCAAGAGGCGGCCATGGGAAGGGGAGCGAGCGGA